TCATCTTTTAAGATTTTAAATAGTTCAGCTGGAATGCCATCACCTCCACCAGCCTTGTTGTTAGCCATGCTTTCTAAGGCCCACTTGACTTCACTCTCCAGAATGTCTGGCTCTAGGTCAGCAACTACATTGTCTGGGTTGTCCCGGACATCCAGATCTTTCTGGTATGATTCCTCTGTGTATTCCTGCCACCTCTTCTTCATGTCTTCTGCTTCTGTTCTTGTCTGTTGTAGAACTGCTTAAACAAGCCTGCTACATTTGCTAACCCTCATTTAGAGAAAGTTAGACCTTCAACACGTGTATCATTGTGCATTTTAACTTAAAATAGGAATACTGCCATGGCACTAAGAAAAACAGTGTTTTTGTTTCTCTTTGTGTTGCCTGATGCTGACACTGCTGCTCTTAGGATACCCCAGTGCTGGCTGGGAGATTTCTGTGAGTTGTGTGAAAATCTCTGACCCATTCAGACAAGATTCCTCAGTGTCCCAGTGCCCTCCTTGTTTGTCCCTTTTTCCTTTGCCTTGGGGAAGTGCTCATGGGGAGTGGCACCTTAAAACTATACACATGCAATCTCCTCCTCACTGGTTGCTGCTCTTGCCTTTGGCATTACAAAGCAGAGAAGCCGGTTTGGGCAGTCCGCAGCTTCAGACTGTGGGACTCTGGTTACTCATTATTTGCTAGTAGGTGGGAGAGGCCACCTCAGCTGCCAGCCGGGTTGGGTACGAAGGTTACTCCTCTGTTTCTCTGTTTTCGGTTAGTCAGCAGTGTCCCAGGGCGAGGTGTATGGAGTGGGAGGTTGCAAAGGAATTGAGACCCCTCTGGGGAATCAAGTGAGGAGGAGCATGGCAGGAAGAACATGTGCACTTATCCAGAGGCAAGAAGTAGGCAGGACGGTCCCAAATGGCAGCCCAACCTTCAGTTCCCCAGCTGGGAGTATGAGGACTACGATTCTATCTGGAGAGGAGATGCTGGTGCAAGGAGAACTGAGCAGAATGGCGGCGGCTGTGATTGGAACAACAGGGAACCGTATGGCACCAGCAGGCCAGTGGGCAGAAGCGGTTACAATCGGGAGATCTGGTACAGTGACCAAGAAATGGCCAGAGTATGCTCAGATTATGGGAAACTAGGCAGGCAACATACAGATCAGAGAAAGATGAACAAGAACAGCCTGGACAGAGAATGTGAGAGAATACACAATGGTCATCTGGAGGAAGTTGGCTCTCCTAAGGATTGTGAGAAAACCTCCAAAAAAGTAACCTTCAGGAAACCTCACGATTGGTCTGAAGATGACTTGTATCTGGATTCTGACTTTAGAGCCTGTAGGGATGAAGAGCGTTGGGATATGAAGCATTGCAGACAAAGTAGGGACCAGAGTGACCATCAGAAGGAGGATTGGTACAGTTTGGATGTGAAATATAGTAAAGGGAGAGGAGATAGGGAAGTGGAACGCAGTCGAGCAGAAGGGAGATACTGCAAGAAGGGGGAGGGACGGTGTCGGCAGCTTGGAGACTCTCATGGCACTCAAAATTCAAAGGGAACTCCTGAGGGCTATTCTGTGGATGGTGGACCTTTCTCTGTTGCCTATGAAGATCTGTTCTCTTGGCCTTTAGGATGCGAAAACAGCAGGCCTCAGTGTGAAACAACCCGGCAACAGTTTGTGGCAGATGGTGTCTCTGGAGAGACAGAATTGTTTACTATCCAGTCCAAAGTGCCAGATTTGCCGGTGTGGAAGGATGGCTGTCCCAGGACACGTGTAGGGCGATCAGACTGGAGTCTGGACTGGGAGGATAAAGCAGAGTGGGCAGGTGGGACAGAAGCCTGGCAACGCAACAGCTGTTACCGGCGCACAGCTCCCAGTGCCTTGAGGCACCATGTAAAAGCAAAACAAGGTAAGTGAAAGGAGGACACATGGACTGTGCAGAGAAGAACACACATATTCCTAACTGGTCAATCTAAACACAATGCCTGCTGTGCTTATGCTGGAGCCCTAAAAAAAAAAATTCAGTATGTCATTCATATGTGATTTTATCAAGGTTAACTAAATGCTTTTGCTGTAAATGCCAATCAATGTCCATTGAGATTTTATTTTTTGTTACTACTATCTGATGTCCCCTGGCTGGGCCAGGCAAGTGCACATCAAATTATTGATTGATTGATTGATTGATTGATTGATTGATTTAGATGCCGCCCATCTAGACATAGTCTACTCTGGGCGGCTCACAACATAAACACCTTATGCCAGAAATGCTTGTACAGTTTGATTAGTTTTATATTATATTTTTGCCCAGCCAGAGGCTTCCAGCATGAGCAAAATTCCCTGTTTATATATGGTCTTGGCTTCACTTCTTAGATGATCAATTTGAGCACCTTTTTTTGTGGACAGGCCTACACCCTGAGCACCTCTTTGGCATTAGAGTGGAAAAAAGTTACTTTTTGGGACTAAAACATCTTAACATGACCAAAGCAACATGGGAGTTGTAGTCAAATAAGATTTTCATGGTTTGAAAGAAACTTTTGCCTGTCATTTAACAGTGAACGATTTTTTAGTATATGATGGAATGCAGGTTTTCCGTATAGTTTTATGAAAAGTTACAGAAATGTAAGCTGTATTAATTTGTTGCAACAAAACCAGTTATGAATATTATGACATGTTGTTCTTATGTGCTCTCAAGACACTTCTGACTTATGTTGATCCTATGAATTAATGACCTGCAAAAGGTTTATCATTAAAAGTTCTGCTAAAGTCATACAAAATTAAAGGCCATGGTTTCCTTTACTTAACCAATCCATTTCATGTTCAGTCTTCCTGTTTCACTACTGCCATCTACTTTTTCTAGTGTTATTATCTTTTTCAATGAGTCCTGTCTTCTCATAATATGTTCAAAATTTATAGTCTCCGTTTAGACATTTTCTTCTAATGAAAATTTAGACTTGACTTGATCTAGAATCCATAGTTTAGTCTTTCTGGCAGTCCTTGGTATCCATTACACTCTCTTCTGACAAAACATTAAAAAAGAACAAGTTGGTGGTTTATAGGTCAGCTTTTTTCATAGTCCAACTTTCACATATGTACATAGTAATAGGAATATCATAGCATTGATGATCTTTTCCTTGGTCTCTGATGACACCTCCTTAAGGATATTTTCTAGCTTTTTAATTGCTCCTTTTACAAGTGTCAGTCTTCTTTTGATTTCTTGGCTGTAGTTTGTATTTGGGTTGATAATTGAACCAAGGTATAAAAAATATTATTTAACTATTTCAGTATCTTCATTGCTAATCATAAAGCTATGATTGTTTGTCTTTTTGCTTTCTTCTTTCACTTTCACCGGGAGTCATTTCAAGGCATTGCTGCTTTCTGCCAGGAAATTAATATCATCATATCTTAAATTATTGATGCTTCTTCCATATCACTCTTTCATCTAAATCTGATCCAATTCTTCATGTGGTATGTTCTGCAAATAAATTGAACAGATAGAAATAACATACACTCTTTTTTGACACCTTTGCCCTTTAGAAATCATTCTGCATCTCCATATTCTGTCCTGACAGCAGACTCTTCTCCAGGGTAAAGGCTATGCATCAGGTCAGTCAAATGTGACACACTCAATTCTTTTAGCTTTTCATGATCCACTCATTCAGACTTTTACAGATTTAATCTATAAAGTAGATTTTCTTCTTCTTCTTCGGAAATTCTTCAATAGCCAATGTATGTCTTCCACGGGTGTCACTTTCTACTACTGTACTGTACTAGTGCTGTCTGGTGTCTGCCCATCAAGATTTTTCTTGCATTCCATTATCACTATACCTATCAGTTCTTTTCACCTGGTGTGATTAATTCATGGAGAGGTTAAATACATCTTAGTCTGCTATCTGAGCTTTGACTGTTCCAACTTTAGTGACCCTGCTAGAGCTCATAATGATATTGCTCTCAGCTTCTCTGACAGACTCAGACTTCCTCACCATGTTAAGTTATGCATCCAGGAGAGAATGCGGCAACTTATACGCTAACAGATTTTGTTTAATAATATGCAGAATCTGAAGAAGTGGATCACAGTCCATTAAAGCTTATCTTGAACAAAACTTAGTATTTAAGGTGCCATAAGATTCTTTACTGACTTCCATATACAGACTCTCTACAATGCCAGTGAATCATTGACTGTCAAAAGCAAAAAACAACCAACCAAACAAAACTAAGTGTGCTGCTTATGTACCGCCCCATAGTGCTTCATGCACACTCTGGGCGGTTTACAAGTTAATTATGCTGGCTGCACATTGCCCCCCCCCCAGCGAGCGGGGTACTCACTTTACCTGCCTGAGAAGATAGAAGGCTGAGTCAACCTTGAGTCGGCTACCTGGAATTGAACCCCAGGTCATGAGCACAGGTTTTGGCTGCATTGCAGCAGTTTAACCACTGCACCATGAGGCTCCTATCATGACTAGTTTGTCTTTTGTCTACTTTGTCATTGTTATTTGCATTTGCCCCAGAGAGATAGTTGAACAGTTTGGCTTGTTCACTACTCTGGAATTTTTCTTTCCAGTGACTCTTACATATGTGGTCTTATGAGGGTGTGGGCACTTTGATACGTTTAGTTTGTTTTCCATGTGGTATGGTAGGAAAGGGTGCTGGTCTGCATTGGAGCTGCTTTCTATTCACATTTGCTCTGCTTCTCAGGTTAGCATCACCTTCCCTTCTGAAGAAGTCATCTCAGGTCAAACAAAGCTGATGCATTTTGATTTTATGCACACTGGCAGCAGGTTTTTATCTGGTTTTTCAATAACAGCAGGAACCCAACTTGTATGTCAGCAGATGGGCTGGAATGCTGCATGTGCATGGAATGTTGCGGGCAACTGTTGTTATTGTTCATAGGATGCCATCAGTGTACATAAAAATTAAGAAGGAAATGTATCATTGTTCTAGACGGAGCTGGGTACTGGCAGGGCACATCAACTTTGCATTCTGGCATTCTTCAAGAATGGAAACAAACAGAAAACAGGTGGACTTGGATTTGGCAATAAACTACTGTACTTGCAACTGGAAATATCAAGTGTCCCCAATTCCTTCCCATTCTCCATTCTTCCCTTAGCTCTGATACTAGGCAGGCATGCTAGAAACCAAAACTACAGCTTGTGAATCAATCTCTGATTCACACTCTATTCAGAAGGCTTTGTTTCCTGGTGAGAATTGTGACTTTGTAAACACAGTAGTCAGAGAGCCATAGTTTCGTTATGTTTAACATTTTCAACAATCTAAACATTTGCCTTGCCTTCAAATGTTGTAAGGATTTATTGTGAATATACAGCAGATATTAAATACTGTATATGTATGTGGCATAAAATGGTTAATCGGATCAACAGATGTGAACCAAGGCAGGCTGTGACCACACATGTTTCATTCTGAAACTATAGAGCACTAATGCTTTCCTTCCCCCACAGGATGGTTTCATAATAGCCACATCCCAACAGCTGTATGTCACTAGTTAATCTTTCCTTGATATAATTCTCTCCAAATTTTCTTCATTTTTCTTTAACCAAACAATCAGCAACCTAAACACTGCAACCCAGTGTTTGTTGTTACAAAATGTTTGGCCACATATTTTAGTAATTGGTTATCTAAGGAATAATGCAGGACCAGTGCTTGATGCCCCCTTTGAACATTTGGGCATGACCTTTAGTAGCTGGTTTGCTAGAGTAGGCAGTGGAGGTTTGTGCTTTTAATCTTTTCACAAACCAAAGTTTAATCCTCCCTTATCTGTCTGTCCATCTGGCTCCCTGCTGTTTATATCTCTCTATCTCTTTTCAGTGGTGCAGAGCAATTACAGAAGGCCCTGAGTGGTTAGTGAATCTCAAATATATTGATAAATTATCTGGACTTTCCCAAGCAATAGGAATTCTAGGGAGATCTGATTGGTATCCTCATTGTATCCACATTGAGTCCAGACTAAAACCTTCCTTTTCAAACAGAGATTTAATCTTTAATTGGATGGTTTCATTGTTTGTTCTACTGCAGGTTTTTAAATATCTTAATGTTATAACATTTTAATATTGGGAACTACTGATTATTTACTTGTTATTTGATTGACCTTTTTTATTAATGTAAACTGCTGCAAAGACAACCACCATGATCATCTGGATGAGTGATTAATGGCAGGGATGAAGAAGCTGTACCTTCTCCCATTAACGGACTGCACACTGTGCCTCACTGTTGGCTTGCTAGGAGCTGAAGTCCAAAAAATATTTGGAGACCCACAGACTCCTTGCCCTGAACTGTACTTTAGATAAACATGGGGAATATCACCTGTTCCTTTTTCTTAGTGCCACTAACTATGACATCTTCCTAATGCTTGGAAATTATGTAATAAAAGTAACGTGTTAATACTAAATTACTTTCCCCATCAAACAGGAGGAAAAGAATTTAATGCATTAAAAACAGTACTACAGTATAAGTGTAATACTATTAGTAGGTTTACATTGTTATTCATGATATGTCTATGTATCAACACTCTGCTGCTCCAGAAAGAGGCATTTATAAACCACCAAGAGATGGGGACGAATCGCCACTTTGGCGAGTTGTCCTGCTTCATGATCCGTCAAAGTTGACGAAGCATGAAGCTTCCCCCATGAACCAAGGAAGCAAGAATTTATTTGTCAATTTGTTGGGGGTTAGACAGCCAGAGGCTGTCTAAAAAAACCCTGACCCCCCCCAACTGCCACCATGCCGCCAATTCCCCGCCGCTGTCCCCCCTGTAATTGCTGCCATGGTCTCCAGCTGGCTAAGGCAGGCTAAGGGAATCCAGGCTGCCCTTTGCAAAGATGGTAGCCTCCCTACCCGAAATGAAGCCATAGCCACCATCTTGGGAAAGGGCAGCCAGTGTCCCTTACTGCAGGCTGT